CACTCGTTCACGTCTGCGGGAGAGGCGCCCCCTGAGTGTTGCTCGCCTGCGCCACCGGCCTTCCCCGCGCCCCTGGGGCACCATCTTACCCACGCACTGCGCCCCGTCCTCGCTGGCGTGGTACCCGTGCCTGCACACCAGTGGGTTCCTCTGGCACGTGTAGGAGCCCACCGTGTTGACGCAGCTGAAGCCAGGGCGGCAGGGCTCAGGCAGTGAGGTGCACTCGTTGATGTCTGCAGAGGGAAAATGAAGGCTGAGCCTGGGGTGACTGGAGCAAGTCACAGCCCTGCTCTTCCCAGAGAGCTGCCCATCCTACATAGCACAGGGTGCCCTGTCAGCCAGCCCCCTACCCCAGCTGGCCCTCACATCTTCCCACACAGCCCCACCCCAGGGCCTTTGCACCTGCTGCCCAGCTTCTCCGGCACACACTTCCTCAGCTCTCTGCCCCTGTGTCCAGTGTTACCCACCATGGGAGGCCCTCCAGAACCAATCTGAGTAGGAGTGCTCTTTTTTATATTTTCATCCCCTACTTGTTTTATTACGTATCAAAGTGCCTGGTACTTTTATAAACCTGGTTGCTTACTGATGCTCATTGGTGCTTCTCTGTAAACTTTCTCATCAGGCTGCTGTAGCTCCCCCACACCTAGAAGCCTGGCTGAATCACTGAGGAGCTGTCAGTCAGGCAAACCCCTCCCCACCTTCCCCGACCCTGGGCTCAAAAGGGTGGAACCCCGCAAACCACAGGGACCCTAAAGGTCCTGACGGTCCCCTGCCCCATGTGACACACCATTGAGGTCACAGGGCAAGGAGACATTAAAGGTGGTGTCCTGGGGAGGGCCCCCTGGATCTTGAGAAGGCCTTCACACAAAGCCAGGGCCCCGGGAATCCCAGCCTCCTGCCTGTGGTCCCGAGGAAGGGTGGGCAGGAGCCGCCGCGCCCTGGTCCTGTCTGCCTCTCCCCTCCCTGCTGTCTCTGCACCGTTCACCCTGTGGCTGGGTGGCTGTGACCTCCCTCCAGCCCCTGCACCTGGCAAGTGGGCCCTCCCGGCCGAAGCAGGACAGCATCCTTGGGGCAAGGAGGCCATCATTGGTCCAGATGCGGGCTTCATGAGCACAGCACAGAATCATCCCAGGCCTCACCAACATTCTTTGAAAGCTACGATTTCAGCGAGCCCATGTGTTATTATTGTTCTGTGAACTTCGTGTGCCACCAAATATAGCCTTGTTGGCCAGGTTCAAAACATGTGACAGGCATTCTTCCAGCCCAGTCCCAAGTGTGGTAGCGCACGCCTGGGATCCCAGCACTTGGGAGGCTGAGGTAGGAGGCTCGCTGAGGGTTTAAGGCCAACCTGGGCTACATAGTGAGTTTGAGACCAGCCTGAACTGCATAGCAAGGCTGTCTCCATAATAAAAGGCTCCAGTACAGCCCCACAGATGGTTAACTGAGGCCACCAGAGAAATCACTGAGCCAAGGTCCGACCCTTCTGGGCAAGAAAGTAGCTCCCGTTCTGCAGGTGCTCCTGGGGCGGGGCTCGGCACACGGGACAGGAAGAGCAGCCGCCTGCCTGGTCAGGCAGCCCTCGGGAGCCCCAGCAGGCTCCCAGCCGACTCACCCACGCAGTTGCCCTCGGGGTCCTGCAGGAAGCCCTCCATGCAGCGCTGCCGGGCCTGGCAGTAGAAGGAGCCCTTGGTGTTCTGGCACGAGAAGCCAGGCTGGCAGTTGTGCGAGCCCATGGTACACTCGTCCACGTCTGCACACAGAGGCCGGGTGTCAGCTCCCTGCCCGCCGACACCACGGCCCTGGCGGTCACAGGGGCCTCCTGCATTCCCAGAAGCTGGCAGAGCTGAGCCGCTGGCAGGGCCCAGAACCAGTGGATGCCGTGAAAGGAGCGTGTGTACTGAGACTCCCCACGGTCTAAGCACCGATTACTTCAGCCTCACAGCCACCCCAGGACGCAGGCGCCACACTAGCGTGTTACACAGGGGAAACTGAGGCACGGCGAGTGCTGGGCTGGGAGCACAGCCCAGGCCATCAGGCCCCGGAACCTGCACTGTCCCAGTTTGTGAGGACAGAGGAAGTGGGGACGAGTGCTTATGTCCCCACGGGCGGTTACGAGGTGACAGCCATGGGGAGAGCACAGGTACTGCAGAACCTCCTGCACTCACTCAGGGCAGCTGCTCCCCTCCCAGCGGCCGCCGGTCAGGCCCCAGCTGCAGCGTCACCTCACCTCCCCCGGGCCTCCTTGCACCCAGTCCTGGGCCACTTGGCCATCCCGGTTTGCTACTGGGTTCCCCAAGTCCTCTACCACGTGGTCCGGGAGGACACAGCACCCCAGCCTGAACCCCAGTCCTCATCCCTGCCAGGCACAGCACACAGGGGCAGCTCGGGAGTATTTGTTCTTAGAACGCTAGGACTTCCCAGTGAAACACGTGATTCTCATCCCGTGGAGCTCAACCCCAGGTAGAAGCTAGGGAACCAGGGTGTGGCACTCAGACACCAGCAGGCAGCAGGAAAGCCCGAAGCAGACCCTGCCCCCCACTCAGCTCTAACTCCTCCACTTCTGCCCCAACACCACCAACCGCGGGGGTCAGGGGCCCTCTTCCCACACCCAGCAAGAAACCAAAATACTGGGAGCTTGTGAGAAAAGGCTTTGGATGGGGGAAGAAGCTAGGGAACCAGGGTGTGGCACTCAGACACCAGCAGGCAGCAGGAAAGCCCGAAGCAGACCCTGCCCCCCACTCAGCTCTAACTCCTCCACTTCTGCCCCAACACCACCAACCGCGGGGGTCAGGGGCCCTCTTCCCACACCCAGCAAGAAACCAAAATACTGGGAGCTTGTGAGAAAAGGCTTTGGATGGGGGAAAAGACGCAGGTGAGGGCCTTGTAGCAGCGGAAGGAGCCCAGCGTGTTCACGCAGTGCTCGCCCCGGCTGCACGTGTGCAGATCCGTCACGCACTCGTTGATGTCTGCAAGGAGAGCGAGGCCGGAAGTCAGGGCCCACAGGGTGGTTTGAGACAGACAGTGGCCAGGAGCAGCCAGGGAACCTGGGGCCACCAGGAGGGAGAAGCGCAGACCCTGCCCTGGCGGTACTCACCTTTGGGAGGGAGCGGAGCGAGTGCGCAGCTGAGTCCCCCTATCCATGCACCCCTTCACTCAACAAAGATTTAGGAAGCACTCAAGGAATGCCAAGCGTCCTTCTTGGCAAGAAGGACGTACTCGCCAGTGAACGAACCAGACGCACACGAATGCCCGCGCCCAGCCAGATGTGCAGATACCCAAGCACAGGATGGGAAGGTCGTCAGGGTGCTGTGCTGACCGGCATGGGAGGACGCGGGAGAGCCCGGTCAGCGGGGCTGCGGAGTTCTCCTGTGGGGAGGCTTCTGGGGAACAGCTAGGTGAGGGCCCCTGGCAGGTAGCTGGGCGTGGTAGTGCATGCCTGTATCCCAGCACTGAGGGAGGCTGAGGCAGGAAGATCCTGAGTTTGAGTCCCACATGGGCAATTTAGTGAGCGAGCTTATGTCTCAAAATAAAAAACAAAAGGGCTGAGGCTGTAGCTCAGTGCACGAGCATTCCTAAAGATAGTAATCCAGATGGCTGGGACCAACATCCAAGAAGGTGTGGGAAGCCACCTCGTTCTAGAGATACTGAGAAGGCAAAACCACTGGATGAGAAGGCGGGCGGAGAAGGGGCCTGGAGACACCGCAGCAGCCTCTCCAGGCTCACGAGGCCAGGTCAGGCCATGTTGAACCGCTGCGCTGACGTCAAGGGCAGCAGCCAGAGCGCCCAGCCCCACTGCACCCTTCCCCTGGTCCACTTCCTGGTGCAGGGTGAGCAGTCCCCTCCCGTCTCCCTGCGTCCCAGCCCACCCAGGACACTTTCCAGGGTCAAGACAGTCCTCCCAGTGCAGCACACAGAAAAGGCAGATGGTAGAAGGACAGGGGAGTCCCCAGCAGAGGTCATGCCCACTGATGCCCCTCTTTGGCTCTCCTACCTCCAGCTAGGAGTAGCTCACTACCTCTGGACATTGCCTCAGTGTGATATATCTGCAGAATAATCATGACATCAAAACACTGACCAAGCCAAGTAAAGTGGCGCACACCTGGAATCCCAGCACCCAGGAGGCTGAGGCAGGTGGATCGCTGGGAGTTCAAAACCAGCCCAAACTACATAGCCAGACCCTGTCTCAAAAAACCAAAACCCAAACCAAACAAACCACTAGTAAAGTTCTTACATGGAGCAGCTCTTTTCATCTCCACAGTGCCCTTTGGAGGTGGGCACTATCATCTCATTCACAGATGCAGAAACTAAGAGGCCAGAACTTAAATTTAGATTAAATTCTTTAAAAATGTTTAACAAATCTTTTGCAGTACACTGAGCTATGTCCCTATTCCTTCTCTCTTCCCCTCAACCCCTCTGTCTTTGTTTTTGTTTTTCTTTGAGACTTATCTAAGTTGCTGAGTTCCCAGGTTGGGTTCCAACTTGCAATCCTCCTGCCTCAGCTTACCAGACTGCTGGGATTACAGCCGTGCATCACTGTACCCAGCTGGTTCAACACCCATCTTCCAAGCAGAAAGAGGCAGAGGTGGGATTTGGACCCAGGCAGTCTGGCTTTGAGGCCACCTTCCCTTCACCTGCCAGGTTAATGAGCTGGGAGATGTCCGCAGATGGGCATCTGCGTCAGGGGCACTAACATGGTCACAGGAGTGCTGAGAATGTGCGTGGGTTTGTGCCGGACACGAGAGGACAGAAACGGCGCATGAGCGCAGACCTGTGCTGACTCAATGTCCCCCACACCAGTTCCAGCTGCCGGGGACCCACTTCACCTCTCGGGTTTGTCTCCAGGCCACCAGGGAGCCACCACGGGGTGTGGTAAGGGGGTGCACAAGAGCTGGCAGGGCCACCTCCCCAGAAAGACACAGGCCCACCCCAGCCGGAAGAGTCACCATCCACTGGGAGGCAGGTCAGGAGGCCCATGCTGTACCTAAGGCTGTGCGTCGGGCAAGCGTGATGGTGGGAGCCTCAGCCAGCACTGGGCCACCGGGACACGGTCCCCAGGCAGAGAAGACAAGGTGGGCTCTGGTCCCTGCCTCCAGCCTTTGCACTGCTCCACCCGTCCTCAGAGACGGGTGCAACTCCACCGCTCCAGAAAGGACACACAGGTGGCACCAGCGGTAGGACACCTCCCTCTGCCTGTGTCCCGCACACCACGACCTTGGATCTATCCCAGAACAGTGGAGGACAAGGGCTTGTGTCCCTTCTGTGATGGCACCAAGCGGCCCAGACCAAGGAGAACACCAGGGCCTCCTCACCCCACAGAGGGGCCCTGGAACCCAAACCACAGGGCACGGGATAGGAGGGGAGAGCTGGGACCCGGTGCTGACCCGGGCCAGGCACAGGCGGGTGTGGGGTTGGAACTCTGCCCTGTCCCCCTCCCTGGGCCCTGTGGAGGCTCAGAGAGGAGTTGGGGTCACCCAGCAAACAATTCCAAGGTAAGGGACAAAGCCGAGAGTGCCAGCCGCGCCCCCGTCCATTCAGAGAGGTGCCAGCGGCACCAGAGAACAGTGTGAGCCATGGGCTGACCCCATGCACCCCGGCCCACAGCCCTGACGGTGACCAGCCAGGGACTTAGCACTTTCGGACACACAGGCGCGTCCCTGGGGAAAGCGGCCTCCCGGATGACAAGCGACACAAGACACCAGGACGCGGGGTGTGACACGGAACACGGGGCCAGCTGTGAGAGGGCTCACATGCAAAGGACGGGCCTTTGGCATGTGGCCTGCGTGGCAGAGCGCAGAGCCGTGACGCGGGCGGGCGCAGGCGGGGCCCTCGCTTACCCACGCACTTCCTGTGCGCGTTGAGGATATAGCCCTCGGCACAGAGCCCTGCGTGGCTGGCACAGGAGAAGGACCCCAGGGTGTTCACACAGGACTGGCGCCGGCTGCAGTCGTGAGTGCCCAGCAGGCACTCGTCTTGGTCTAGTGGCAGCCGCGGAAGGAAACACAGAGGGCCGTTAGAGAGCTGGAGCCCGTCCCGGGGCCGTCAGGGACAGAGGGGAGGGCCGGCAGGGCGCACGTCTGAGCTCACAGAGTGCGAAGGTGTCAGAGCTGAGCCTTACAGGGACCGACGGAGGTGAGGCTCAGAGAGGGGAGGCAGGTGGCCTAGGGTCACACAGCGCTGCAGCATGGCGTCACCTCCCTCCCATACTGGGTACCAACTGCACAGCCACAGGCAGCAAGGAACCCACACCCAGGGCTCCCGGGCAGGAGCGCACAGGGGAGGTGTTGTGCCGTGCTCGGGTCCACCCAGAGTAGGACAGGGCAAGAGAAGCCCAGAAGCCGGCTGCGGCTGGTCACCGGGTTATTTCAGACTCAGTGGAGAAGAGCTGGACTCCCCCAGGGGGTGGGCTGCGTGCGCCTCAGACAGCCCGCTGTACCCTCCCCTGCGCCCACAGGTCCTCCTGCCAGGGTCCCGGAGGAAGGCAGCCTGCAGAGGAGGGCACCAGGCAGCCACAGGGCCGGTGGTCCCAGAGTGGTGCCCCTTCTGCCCTCAGGACCACGGGAGGTGGCAGGTGGCAGGTGGCAGGGGACAGAGCCCAGGGAACAGAATACCACAGGGACGTGGGAGTGGCCCGGCACTGGGACTGCCCTGGGCAAGTCCACTGCCATGCCCGGCTCACGGCGTGTTCTCATCCACACAGGACCCACCGTGCCAGTCTGTTCACCTAAACCCCCTGATGCGCCCGGCCCTGCACCCGTCTGTCACAGGGTGGTAGAGGCTGGGGGTGGGCAGGCAGTCCCCAGGCATACTGTGCAGGGCCCTGCAGGGACACCATGCCACCTCGGTGACGCCACCAGGTGAAGAGGATCCCCACAGGCCTCTGAGAATGGCAGTGACGATATCCATCCTGCCTGTCTTCCTGGTAGCACAGGCTGGCTGGGGCCCCCGCACCAGCCCCCCACTGCAAGCCAGCAGCGGGTGGAGGTCACTCCTGGGTGTCACCCCTAAACAAGTGGGTCTCCATCCTTCCCCTCCTCCACCCAGGACAGGAAATGGCTCACAGACAACTCCCACCAAGGCCTGGAGAATACACGGACACAGAAAGTGGACCTCGTTAGAAACACCAGTGCCCCACCCCGCGGGGCCACTAAGCGGGAGCTCTGGGGCTCTGAGGAACCACCGGGCATCTGTCCCACCAGGTTCCCAGTGACGGGTGCAGGGAGGTGATGGGGGCAGTCGCATCTGAGCAGTGCCGTTCCCAAAACAGCAGAGCAAGGAGCTGGAAGGAGCCCAGGCCCAGGACCTGGGCAGCCTGGGCCGCCCCAGAGGGACAGGGCTCTGCCACAGCAGCCAAAGGGTCGCTCCCACGCCCCACCGCAGGGAGCAGGCCGGCCGAGGTACTCACCTTCACATGACACGCCGTCTGCCATGATGGCATAGCCGGGGAAGCAGGAGCACACAGCGGAGCCTCCGAGGACGCTGCACACCTGCCTGCAGGGCCCGTTTTCTGGGGGAGACACACAGCGGTCAGAGGGAGCCGGCAGAGGCAGAAACAGAAACAGGATAGGGAGGCAAAGAAACTGGGAAGGGAGAACCTCTCTCCTGGGTCACCAGCTACACAGACTCCAAGGCCAGCTGGGGGCAGGGACGTTGCTCAGATCCCAAGCTGTTCCTCTAGTGATGCAAAAGGAGGAAGAGACAGAGAGAAGAGAGGCGTGGGGGGAGAAGGGGAGGGAGGGGCAGATGGACGGACGGATGGAGGGACAGACGGAGGGACAGACGGAGGGACAGAGGCAGCTAGAAGCAGAACACTTGTGCAGCAGGCAGGACGAGGCCCTGGGTCCATCCCCAGCATGGCAAGAAAGGAGAACAGGCATGGAAGGGGCGGAGCGGAACAGTGAGGAGAGCATTACCCAGCCTAGCCTCGTCTCACACCAAAGAAGGGTCCGGAGATCAGTCTTACAGGAACAGAGGCAAAAAGCAGCAAACTGGCTTTCCGGGGCCACACACCCGGCCAAGGCTCTCCCATCTGGCTTCCGCAGCTGCGCTCCCGCCCTTCACCCAGGGCACACAGGCAACCGCACGCCCCAGGCAGGAGCGCCCCTCGCCAGCGCCCAGCAGCCCTGGACCCACCTGGGACCCCGCCCACGGCTCACCTGTGCAGGTGTTGGGCTGCGGCACTGGCAGCGGGATGGTGTTGAGGGCTGCCTGGGCAGCCTCGGATCTTGGCGCAGACTCCTGTGCAGGCCCTGGCTGTGGCGCGGTCCTGTCTGCCGGGTCAAAGACACAGCAGAGGGTGGAACTCGAGTCTTCTCCAAGCCTCAGGTCCTCAGGGGCACCAGCCCGCCTCACACCCGGGGCCACTCTGGGCCAAAGCCCCTCATGTCAGAGAGCAAACTGAACCTCGGATCTCGGCGCAGACTCCTGTGCGGGCCCTGGCTGTGGCGCGGTCCTGTCTGCCGGGTCAAAGACACAGCAGAGGGTGGAGCTCGAGTCTTCTCCAAGCCTCAGGTCCTCAGGGGTACCAGCCCGCCTCACACCCGGGGCCACTCTGGGCCAAAGCCCCTCATGTCAGAGAGCAAACTGAGGCTCGGGGCAGCGGCTTCTTGGGGCACAGACGGGTGGAGGGGAGCCAGGCAGGAAGGAGAGAGGTGGAGGAGGAAGGGTCCAGGCCGAAAAGGAATCCACCCCACATCCGGCCAGGAGAAAGTCTTTCTGCAGGGCCAGACTCCAGGGCACTGCAGGGGCGCGGTGGGTCTGGGCAGGGCCTCTGCACCTGTGGCTTCCAGACGGAATCTCTCCCCAGCCTCCAGCTCGAGAGTCAGTGGCAGGAAGTGAAGCACCGAGCCATCCCCCCGCCAGGCGGCCTCGCCCCGGCCCGCTCCTCACCTGGCTCACCT